TCAAACAGTAGCAGTATTATCCAATAGACGTCTGTGAAGATAAACATGTTCCATATCGGCACACTCCAATGGGGCAGCCACTGGTCACACAGGAAAAATGAGATGGAATTTTTCATTTCATTTCATTTTAATTAAACAGCCATCCACATGATTAGTGGGCACTGTACATAGGCTGGCTGATCTAAAGATGAATTCCTAAAACCACATAAGACTTTCCTAGAAGCATAAGAAAAAATAGTCAAAGGATAGAAACTGCCAGTTCCTAGTGATGACAGGAAACTTGCCTGCCTAACAAATACATGAAGATGCTTCACCTTACAAATAAATCAGGGTACTGTGAATTAAAATCACAGAACACTAAATCCACCTGCTTTGCAAAAAATCAGGCAGTCAAAACCACTAAACTTGGGCAAGGATATGAGGAAAGCAACTCTTGTGCACAAAAGTACAACCATTCTTAAAAGCAAAGCGGCTGCCACTGTTGGAAGTTGCAGTGAGTCCGTCCTGATTCCAGGAGACCCACATAGTACAGAGCAGAACTGCTCCATTGAGTCTTCTCACAGCAGCAGACTGCCTGCAGTTTTGCTGCATGGGAAAGTTAGAGCAATCATGATTATCCCCTTACAATGAGACTTCAAATCCCAGGGTTTCATCTGCACATGCTACACGCTATTGTTTTTGTTTCTGCCGGTGTTTTTGTAGTCGGCGGTTGTGAGAAATGTTCTGGTGTTCTAGCTACAATATTATGGTAGCTGTTATCTGTGAACCTGTATCAGTGGTGTGTGGGTGAAGTAGAAAATGAAAGAGAAAAAATTTTAAAGGTTCCCTGGTGGCCCAGTATACCCAGTGTCTGTCTGGCACACAGTAAGGGCTTTGCATCTCTGCTGAATGATTTCATTCTCTCTTAAGATCTAAAAAGAAAAGAGTCAAAATAAAACAAAACAAAATGCATGTGTCAGGTCCTCGAATACATCTTATGGCATGCCCTGGCATTAATTCTGACGCACAGTGACCCCTATGAGAGGTACCTGCCCCACAGGACTTCCAAGGTTGACATTTTACAGGAGCAGGTCGCCAGGTCTTTGAGTGACTGGTGGGTTCAAAAGACTGATGTTTTCGATGGCAACCTGGTGCTTAATCATTGTGCCCCAGGCTCCTGTAATAAACCTTAGCTGGGTGGCTTTAAATGAGGCAAACCATAAAATATAAAGATTCAGATGCTTCTAAGACCGGAGACCACAGTGATGAGGGTATACGGGCCACCTCAACATCTAGCCCCCCTGTCCAGTTTCGTCTTCTGAAAATGCAGATTACCCTCATTCGTTGCCAAATGTGTGCCGAGTAGAGGGAAAGCACAGAGGCTGGCTCTGCGTGGCAGCTCTCCCTTTCTAGTTTGCCTGGTTCTGTAAGGAGGCTCCTGCCTGCCTTCCAGAGCAAGGGCCCAGAGTGGTTTCCAGGGAAACCGATGCTGCTCCCTGGAGAGAGGGGAGATGCAGCAGCAGCACAGGAATCCCTGAGAGGAAATCTAACACTCCCACAGCATCCCTCCCAAGCAATTCTTCCCAGGGGTAACACACATTTAGGGGTTGGGAACCTTCTACGAATCACTATATGGCCACTCTAACTTAAAATTGCATTGGTGGCAGTGGATGACTCCTATCAGGCCTCAAACATTAACACAGACAAAGGCATACACACATACACACACTGCCTCTGGATCCTTAGGGCACCCTGGGCTCATTGAAGGAGGGCTATCCTTAGACCCATCAAGGCCAGGCTCTCCACTTTGGAAAACTGGAGCATACTCCCACCACACGTAGAGGTTGGAGACCCATCCCTCAATCTGCTCAACTAAAATCCCGTCTTCCCAGGAGCAGGGGTTGGTGGGGGTGGTGTGTACCTGTCCCAGCCTCTCGCACAGCTGGCCGCAGAGCTGGAACTCCCTGCTATAGCTCAGACACTTGAGAGCCAGCTTTGGTTCGTTGCACTCCAAATAGGTCTTAGCCAATTCCAAATACCCCATCTGCTTTTCCCTGAAGGAAGGGAAACAAAACAGAGTTTCCATGGAATGCCAACCCAACACCAATCCATCTGAACGGCTGCTCTCGTTGACGCAGTGCGGGCATACCCCTCGAGAGGCTTACATGGGGCTGACTTTCGTGGATTTCATGTTGAGGGCGGTGTTGTGGGCCAAGACCAACTTCGCCTTCTCAAATGAACCTCCTTTTTGGTAACACTTGGCTGCAACCTGGAATAGACAAAAGATTTCAATCCCCTGCAGATAACAGATACCACAGAACAAGAGTTAAAATGTATGTCACATGGTTCTATTGACAAAGCCGAGTCTCACCCCAGCCCCATTGGAGGAGAGGGGAGCGGTGGTTTGCTAGTGAAAGTAGCTGTACAGGCTGCGCGACAAGAATAACCAGGTAACACTTCACACCCAAAGATGCCTTTGGGAAGTACCCAGAAATCACGGGGAAGGTACATCATGAGGATTTTTTAATAGGCCACTGTCCACAGGCCACCAGAACACCACCATCATTTAATCTTCTATCAGTCATGCACAAGGAGTATCATACTTCTCTCTCTCTCTAGACCTCAGCTCAGAGATGTGCAGTTATTGGCCCAAAGCCGTCCAGTAGATTTTTCTGAGCATCAACACGGGTTTTTCACCAGTTGGTAACTCCAGCGGCCACCTCAGAGTGTTGGTGGAACAGATGTAGCACATCCACAGAGGAAAGACATGCAAAAAAGTCACCAGTCAGATGCTTGAGACATTCACATCTGGGATCGCCAAACCCTCTGAACAGCAGATGGGCAACCATGTGTCACAGGAGTGACACAGAGTCAGAGTCACACTGCACCCTCACTCCTGCCGGCAGAAATCTGTTTTTTTAAAACAGAAACGCTAACCTGTATCTTAAAGGACAGCCCAGAAGGGCAGAAAGTTCATGTCCTACTCAACATGAGAGACTGGGTCTCAGCACGGACACCATCGGGACGCTGCAGCCCTCGCTAATACACTGGACAGACATACCTCTCCCAGGTTCACATTCTACTCCAGCCTCCCTAGCCTATGCTCGTTCCACCACTGGGCCTCTGTCCCCACGCTCCCCCTGAGAGTAATGCTCCTCCACCCCTCTCTGCCTGGTTAGCCTCACTCATCCTACAGATCTGCGCTCAAGGTCTCCCTCTCAAGAGAAGCCTTCTCTGGACTCCTGGTCCAGACAGAGCAGTTCTGGGGGCACTTTTTTTGTCTCTGTGCCTGTTTCACTCATAATCATGATTCTGGGACCTCAACACAATGCGTGGCCCACAACTCAGGAGGTATTTGCTCAATGGATGAATCTCAACAAGTTTCCACTTGCAAGGTGGTGCTGAGCCTTCTACTGACATGCATTTAAAGGCTCAATAAACCACCTTCCTCCTGAAGTTCTTTAGCCAGATCAGAATAAAATCCAGCGAGAAAGCTTTTTATAACATTCTCGTCTGTGCCAGCTCTCCTATAGAGATTTTAGATTCAAACATTAAAAAGACATGCAAAGAGGGAAAGAATTTGAAATCTATAGGCAGCACGTTATGGTTAGCACCAACAGGGACCCAGAAAGAATAACAGTTTACCTAGTTTTGTAGTGTTAGGCCCTTATCTGCTGTCCATCCTAGTTCATCCTCTCCTCCCCACTTGCCCCAAGTTGCTCCACCCCCCAAAAAAAATTTCAGTTTTCTAACAATAGCCAAGTGTTCAGTATTTCTTTCCAATTATAACAGTGGCTAAAGAATACAGTTAGGGGTGTGTGTGTCACCTCCTGCAGCTAAATGTTGCATATTGATAGAAATATGTTCTATCCACACCCAATAGTAGAAATGTTTTCTCATCTCTTTCGACAGGCTGAAAGGGCAGTCAGATCCCTTCTCTCTTCCCTCTATCCACGCCCCATTCCAGTATAACTCTGAAACTTCTCCCAACAGTGGTAGCTCTTTCTCTTCCCTTTCAAACTAGGGTGTGACTTGCTTTGGCCAATAGAGTACAGCAGAAACAACACTGTGCCTAGGCCTTGAGAGGTCTTGTTTGCATCTCACTCTCTTTGAACCTGCCCAAACACCATACAAACAAGTCTTGGACTAGCCAGTTGGATAATGAGTAGTACAGGAACTCCAGTCACCCCATCAAGTCAGCCACTACAACCAGCCAACCTCCAGAATCAAAGGTGCCTGGCTGCCTGGCAGCTGTGTTGCCCATCAGAGATCAGAAGTTCTGCTTGGCTAAATTCAGCTCTGCCAACCCACAGAATGATGGACTTCAGAAAGGACATGTTTTAAGGCACTAAGGTTGAAAAAGTTCTGTAGCAAATGGTAACTGATAAAACCCAAACGTGAGTTGCTTGCTGTAGACTAAAAATCATTTTCTCTGCCACAACAGACAAAACTCTCCTAAAAATTGTGACTGAGAAAACTCTGGGAATTCCTTCTCCCAGGTACGTCAGACAGAAGACATCGCACCTGTGGCGTCCATGAGTTCTAACGTGGAGTTTCATGACACTTGTCACTTTCCAGTACCTTTACCTGGGCCCAACTCTATGCCTGGTAAGAAGGATTATGAAGACAGCAGGGCAGGCCCTCCAGAGGAATCACCATCCGGATGTTTGTTCACCAGTGTCAAAGGAAACTGTGGGCACTTACCCTATAACTGTTTAAGAGCTTGGACCTCTCAAATGTGAACACTGAGACAGAAAGGATCTGTCTAAAACTCAAGCCCAGCTGTATTCTCAGGAAGCATCTCCTGCAGCTGCCATCCTGGGGGGCTCCGTGGACCTGGGGCAGTTAGATCTTTGGGAAATGTGCATGTGCACAGAGCAAATGTGCCGTTGGTTATTTGCTCCCTAGCATCCTGCCTCCCATGCTTGTCTGATGGCAGGGTTCTAACTTCCACAAAGGGCTGAAACTGCCCTATGGAATTACTCTCCCAGAATCCCTTGCTGCTAAGAATGGCCTAGCACTAGTCAATGAGATATAAAGAGCCCCATGGAAAACAAATCCCTGCCCTTCATGCATGGGATGCTCCTGAAAAAGAAGCTGGTGCTTGGAGCTACTGCCGCCATTACATAACCATGAAGGGGAATCATGATGATATAAGAAAGAAATGGAATAAGATCAGGTCTTTGTTGCGTTTGTTGGACTTTGTTGGATCCAACCCTAAGATCAGGCTTCTGGTTATTGGTTTTGAAAACACCCCTTTAACTGTGTTACAAACCCTCAGGTGAAGGTGTCATTACTACAGTTATGGGAGACACAACTGCCAAGATTCCTGCCTAACACCCCATGACACATGGGAGTTCTGACTGTGGGGGAAGTGACAGGGCTCATTATGCTGGTTCCAACTTTTCAGGAAGACTACTAATGCTAACATTTCCTGGGAGAAGACTGCTCGAGCCCTCGAAAATGGCTTGTAGTTAGAAATCAATCTGCTCAGCCTGATGATAAAGCTTAATCTACACCCACCAGACACAGATGCACAATTTGGTTCATATTTAATCAACGAAAAAAGTAAAAGAGAGGCACAATCTGTTACTGTTTTAAAATACAGTGTGATAATTATAAAAAATCTTTCTAAGCATACAGTACAGGAGGGAGAGAAAATACGTATGATTCTTAAGGGGCCAATACATTGACCTCTTCCAATGACCTACTAACACTTGGCCACAACAAGGTTGTCATGACCATGCTGAGGAAGGGACAGGGCAGGGAGCTTCATCACTGCAGAATGGCCCAACATTTCCAAAGAAGTGACTTGAAACAAGTCACCTTACCCTGGCTCCATGGTGATGATGAATGAGATTGTGGGAAGCCTGCCCTAGGGCCTGACAAGCTTGCTCCCTGGCTCCTGGGCCAGCCCCTTACCTCCCAGCACTGATGCTTGGCGTAGTATTCTCCCTGGGCAATCCACTCTTCGGGGGTGGAAGTCTTAACAAACATACTATCATCAAAGTCTAAAAGAAATAGAGAAAAGCAGGTTTACTTCTTTGAGCACTCATTCACTTAAGCAATCTGATACATTCCTTTAGGTGGATCTAGACTACTACAGCTGCTTTTAGTCAGTTCCTCCTGTTGGCCTTACTAGCTTACTTTTAACAATACCTGCCATCCTCACCCTCAGCCCCCAGAGCATGACCCAAAATGGGTGATAGTCCCTGAGGGCTCCCAAGTCACAGCTGCATGCGGCCAACAAGTGATAATAAATAACAGACTGATGCTAACCATCAAATTGGAGGTGAAAAGGATAAAGGTACTCAGGTCAGTGAACAGCCAAGAGGAGAACAAGGCAGGCATGCTGGGTTGGTTTAGAGCAGGGGTCCTCAAACTTTTTAAACGGGGCCAGTTCACTGTCCCTCAGACTGTTGGAGGGCCAGACTATAGTTTAAAAAATACTATGAACAAATTCCTATGCACACTGGACCAGTCGGCTGCTAAGCAGGAGAGCAATGGCGGCGAAAACAACCGGCAGGCCGGATAAATGTCCTCAGCAGGCCGCATGTGGCCCGCGGGCTGTAGTTTGAGGACCCCTGATTTAGAGGGTGTAAAGATACGCTATGCCTTAAAGCCTCTCTGCTCCCTGTTCACCCGCTGCTGGTGCCCTGCAGCACTTGTGCAGTATCTTGTTCTGACTGATGTGCATTATCAGTGCCCGCTGACATCTTTTTCCTACACAGAGCTTCATCTTTTGTCTGAATAGGGCCAGGGGACTTTGTAGGTGCCATACTGAAGAAACCCCAATTTCACAGTAGCGACCCTTACCCCAAGTCCTCTTGCACAATGAAAATGGGTGCTCTCAGAGATTTACCAATGTGCACCTTACCACTCAAAATTAAAACTGTAATTGCTGTGGTATTCTTAATGTTACTAGAAACATAAAATAACTTGCGATTCTTTATCATTTGGTATTTTGACTTGAAGAAAGTATTTACGTATCTTGATGACTTTGTATAATAGGGGCCAAACCATACCTTGAGAATAAAGGGGTATGAGCTAAAGGGCGGATTAAGGAAGCTGACCATGCTAGACCAATCCGCTCACATATTTTTAGTTGAAATACAGCTTCATGGAAGCAGCAGTCACGAAATCCAGTAACATTCAATTGGGCAAATCTGCTGCCCTTGGAAGGTTAACGTCTGTCTGACGTAAGCCATGGTATTTCCCATCACTTCGTGTGCAGACGAAAGCTGGAAGATGAATAGCAAAGACTGGAGAGGAATGAGTGCACGAGAGGTGGGGAAGCACACTGGCTGTACGATAGACTGCCACACGAAGGGACACACCGTGCTGGAAGAAATGCAGCCAGAATGCTCCTTAGAAGCAAGGATGACAGGATTTCATCTCACATACTTGGGCATGTTATCAGGAGGGACGAATCCCTGGAGAAGGATAGCATGCTTGGTAAAGTAGAGGGTCAATCACAAAAGAAAAGACCTTCAGTGAGATAGACTGACACAGTTGCTGCAGCAAGGGGTCAAAAATAGCT